GTACCTCTCTTTAGTGAGAAAAAAGTAAAAGTAAATACAACAAAATTTAAGCAGTGGTTATTTCTGGCGTGGTGATTTAAATGTTCTTTAAGTGTTTCTACACTTAAATTTTTTCTAAAATAAACATGTATTACTCATATCAAGCAGTTATTTTAAAATTGAAGATATTTTTATATACGAATGACACTATTTAAAAATTTTAATTGTTTTATAATCTGTGTTGTGTGGATGTACTTAACCACCCATCATTCATTCTTTCATTCTTTTGTTTCATACGTGCTTACTGAACATGTATCATGTGCTAGACCGGGTCTAGGCACAAGAAATGCAGTTCTGTTGGAACTGACCTAGTTGGGGGAACCAGAGAACACAAATGCAGCTATAAAATGTGAGGAGGTGGAAAAAAAAAAAAAAATGTGAGGAGGTGGGAAGAGAGGAGGAGAAAAATAGCCATGGCCGCCTTTCCAATTCCCGTGGTGCCATAACATGCAGTGACGCCCAGGAAGAGAAAACATGGTCTTTGGGAGAGCTTAAATTAGGCTGCACACATCACTACAGCCACACCTCAACCCATACCAGGGACGCTCAGATGTGCAGAAGCAAGCTCAGCTGGAGGGAGGGCTGCCATCCTGGGGACCCTATTCGGCCGCTGGATGTGTGCCTGACTCAGCTGTGGCACTTTCCCTTCCCAACGTCCAGACTCATCTTGAAGGTGCATTTTACCCCAGTACTAGTTATACAGAGAAGTAAGAGAATCATGAGGGGGTTCAGTTATCCCAGATTTTCAGTCTCACATGAAGATCCCACTTAAACATAATTCTGTCTCATTAATGGAGACAAGCAGTTACACTAATTCATATGACAGCTAAGCACATTGTATGTGTTCCTCTGGGCTTTTAGGGTGAAGTAGCGAACAAACTGGACAGGATCCCTGACCACGCGGGGCTTATGTCCTCCTGGTGGGAGATGCACAGAGTGCAAGGACCAAGATGAAGAAGTTTCAGTTCAGTTCAGTCGCTCAGTCGTGTCCGACTCTTTGTGACCCCATGGACTGCAGCACGCCAGGCCTCCCTGTCCTTCACCAACTCCTGCAATTTACTCAAACTCATGTCCATTGAGTCGGTGATGCTATCCAGCCATCTCATCCTCTGTCGTCCCCTTCTCCTCCTGCCTTCAATCTTTCCCAGCATCAGGGTCTTTTCAAATGAGTCAGTTCTTCACATCAGGTGGCCAAAGTATTGGAGTTTCAGCTTCAGCATCAGTCCTTCCAATGAATATTCAGGACTGGTCTCCTTTGGGATGTGAAAGGTTGTTGTTGAACCATGAAAGACGCTGGGATTCTTGGCCTCCAGAGGAGAAGTATTCAATCCAGGGCCAGAGATGAGGCTTGGCCACTCAGAGCTTTTGTGTAATGAAGTTTTATTAAAGTATAAAAGGGATAGAGAAAGCTTCTGACAGAGACATCAGAAGGGAGCAGAAAGAGTACCCCCTCACTAATGTTAGCAATGGAGTTATATACCTTTTAATTAGTTATTACAGTGAATCAAAAGACGGTTTGGAGGTTGTAAAGACCTTGCTAGACCCACTCCCATAATTTACATTTTAAGATAACAGGATTAGCCAGAAGGTTTTCAGGAAGGAGAAACTGTCCTTATTAAGCAGGATACATTGTTGTTACATAATCCTTAGTACAGAGTTTAAACTGAGTTGTTTGTTGTGTAATCGTCAGTTCCAGGCTTAAAGATAAAAAGGTTTTACGTGACTAAGACTAAGGAATGTAGAGGAAAAAAAAAAGTTTGTCCTTTCCTCCTCCTTGAGAATTCCAGACCCCTCTCTCCTTGGGGACCCCCGGACTTCTTATCAACCTGCCTAGGAACTGACTGTCTCAGATGGACCAGTTAGATCTTGCAGTCCAAAAGACTCGCAAGAGTTTTCTCCAATGCCACAGTTCACAGGCATCAGTTCTTAGGTGCTCAGCTTTCCTTATGAAGTATATGCAGAATCTAAAAAAATGATACAAGTGAACTTATCTACGAAACAGACATAGAGTCACGTATGTAAAAACCATCTGGTTACCAGAGAGTGAATGGGGGATGGGCTGGGAGACCCAGGTTCAGTCCCTGGGTTGGGAAGATCTCCTGGAGAAGGAAATGGCAACCCACTCCAATATCCTTGCCTGGAAAATCCCATAGACAGAGGAGCCTGGTAGGCTGTAGTCCATGGGCTCACAAAGAGTCGGACATGACTGAGCAACTTCACTTTTACTTTATATTCCAATGAATATTTTTTAAAAAAGAAGCCAAAGGTGCACTTGTTTTTGCAGGATGTGACCAAGCTGGGGGACAGCAGGCAGGTGGTGGTGTGCTGGGGTGGCTGCCATGTTCCGGGAGTGGGAACACCCTGGGCTTCATTGAGAAGGAGACAGAAAAACACCTGAAGATGGTGAGGGAGGCAGCCAAAGGGGTACCTGAGGAGAGAGTTTGGGGCAGGCAGGGCCCCGAGAGCAAAGGGTGTTCATCAGATGGAGCAGAATGCTGAGAGCTGGGCTGTGTTGCACGAGAGGAAGGGGCCTGGGGGACCCTGGGAGCCCAGATCACCCGACTAGTGACATGGAGGCTGCTCAGCAGCCCCATCCAGGACTGACAGGACGGTCCTTGACCTCTGAAGGAGCCACCAGCTGCCGTATGGGGACGAGACATGAGAGCAATGAGGGGCTGACAACAGTGATGGGGCGGTGACTTCGTGGTAAGGCTGCGGCAGAAATTCACATGAGAGGCGGTGGTAACAAGGACGAGAGCAACGGCAGAGACGATGAAGGGGAGACTCCAGGGACACCATGATCTAAAATACGCAAGAATAACCAGCCCCCCTGGTAGATCATCCGTCCTAACTTTGGTTCAGCAAAGTGTGGTCCCAGCTGCAGGACTTCTGCCCGGAGACAGCTGTGGACCTCTTTCTGAAAACCGTTCTTTGCCAGACTGTACCATGGACTCCACATCCTCACCCCTGAGCTGTGGCATGCCCCTGATTTGAGCATCACCTAAAGCTTTCTGGGGCAGCTGCAAACAACCTCCAGCCTGGCTGTCTGGATGGAGGTGGCTTGCCAGGAAAGAGCACCTACTTAGAATTTTGTGAGCAAGAAGTAAACTTCCACTGGGGTAATGTGCTGAGGTTTAGGGCTGTTCTAGAAGATAGTATAGTCTTAATGAACACAATTCACTTCTGTCCAGTAGCAGTTATGTGTCAGGCTTCACACACATTATCTCAGGCCATGTTGTCTGGTAGCGGTCATTACACTAGCTGTCCAGATGATGAAACAGAAGGTCAGAGTGGTCCAGATCACCCAGCTATGACCTAACAGAGGCTGCATCTGAGAAAGTCTTTGTGACCCAGAAGCTCTCCCCGAGTTCCAAAGATGTGCTGCTTCCCAGAGTATCTTCACTCTCATTCTCCAGGGGCCCTTTGGCAGGAAGTTGGTCCAAGTTCTGACTCCATATCTTCTTCCAGCACAAAGCTTGCCCTTCTCAGCACACTTTTCAAGACCTTCTGTAACTCTCATTGGAAAGAAATTCTCTCTATCCTTCCCTTTTCCTTTAACGACAGTTTTCCCATCATTTTTTTTTTTCCATTATCCAGAGCTGCTCTGGCTCAAGAAGGACTCAGAGAAGCTGGACATTCTGGGCTTGTTCCTGGTTCTCTGGGGCCGGGTCATGGGGACATCTGTTTGGATGGTACTATTAGGACATTTCAATCATTTCATCAACTTGACTGCATTTGTGAATATATGTGCCTCCCCCACCACCTTTAGAACTGTCTATGTAGTTTAAAAAAAATCACAAAGAGTATGACTGGGTGCCAGTCTTTCTGTAGGAAGCCAAGACCCCGAACCCTCAAGATCAATGTGAAATTCTCCCCTCAGTGATTCAGTTTCAGGGAATGGTTCAGATTTTGCTGCCAAATTTCCCTTGTTGTCAGATTTCCAGCTGGACCTGGCTGTCCATCAGGTGTCAGATTCTCTGAGTCCAGCTATCCGGGCGTGGCTTCTGGAGGAGATGGGTGCTGCTGGTGGTGCTGTGCCACGGGGCCCGGGTCCAGGGGTGTCCAGGGGTCCACGCCTGCTCCAGTTTAAGTTCAGACCTCTGGTCTTTGACGCTGCCTGTGCCTTCTGCCTCCCCCTGAAGCTGAAGCACTGTCCTTCACGTCATCAGATTCCCGAGGAGGTGTGTGTGTGTGTGGGGGGGGGTCTTCCTGTTTGTTTGCAATCCCAGCTTCAGATTTGGACCATCCTTCAGAGATCCTGCAGCCCAGCCTGAAACCAGTTCAGAGATCCTTTTCCATGCTATTCCTGACTCTGAAACCCATAGGGTGGGCATGCAATTGCCCAAGAGTGAAACACTGGAGAAAGAATATTTAAAAACCCAGTCATGACAGCCCAGAGACACTTGGTAGCTGGTGATGGGAAACAAACAAAGAAGAAAGAGCCTCTGTGCATAAGGGGGACCCTGGCCAAGTAAGACTCAACCTGGAAAATAGATAGGATTTTCCTGCCTGAAGTCAGAGGTGTCTGTGAAAACCTTCAGGCCACTGGTACAAAAAGTCATCTAGTGGAAAGGATTTGGGTAGCTGCAGGGCGAACCAGCCAAGTATGTTTGAATTCCAGAGGAATTCTAAAGTTCCAGCGTCCACACGGATTTTCCAGGAGATGTTAGAAACAGAAATTAGATGTTAGAAACAAGGCCGAAAAGCTGGGGAACCTCTATATACGTGAGAAAAACAAACAAAAAACAAAAACCTCTGTTTAAAGATTCAAATTAGAGAAGCTGAGCTGGATGGCAGCTCTGGCTTAAGGACTTGTCCGATCTTTTGTGGAACAGTCCTGGTGTGGGTTCGTCTAAAAGCAGACCCTAAGTTTTGGCTGCAAGTCGCTTATGTGGGAAGGTAGGTGAGAAACACGGATGGGGGCCTTGAGAAGCAAGACAGAAAAGTTGAACAAAAGTGTGTCAATCTGAGCAGGTCACCGCTGTGGTTGCAGTGGGGGTGGATGGTAGGGCTGCAGCCCGCTGGGGTCCGGGCAGGAGCTGGGGAGAAGATGATGGAGAACGGGAGCTGGTGCTTATCTCCTGGCGCCCCTCCCTTTCTGCGGGGCTCCTGTGGGGTGGGGAGGGGGGTTGTTAAGGCCCAGCTGTTCCAGAATGCCTGCCCACACTGTTAGAAACAGTTCTCAGCCCGAGATCCTGGGAGTCGTGGAAGCAGAGAGCTGTCAATGTGCCTGCAAACGCCGTGTCGCTGCCTGTGCGCTCAGAGATGGGCTGCGGAGGGTGGCGTAAATAGCACAGCTACCTGCCCGTTTGGACGTGAATCCAAGGAACAGAGGTGCGGACATAAAACCCAGCTGCTGAGAGAGCGCTGTCTGGAGAGGACAGACAGACACTGCACATCTGGTTACTCCAGTGGGGAGAGAGGAGGCGATTCACTGACTCAGCAGATAGTCTGAGCTCCTACCATAAGCCCACTGTGCGCCCAGCAGACAGGGACTGGCAACCTGCTTCAGTCAAGGACCGGCCTGCGTCCAGCGGTCTGCGGCTCCAGAGAGAGGCGTGGCGCCCGCAACCTGCCTCTGGTGTGAATTTTGGCTGTGCTTCTAGTTGCTTAGCTCCCTGGGTCCTGTCCATTTTGGGAACCAGACCTGGTTTTCCAGTCTTCCCTTTGTGTCTATCAGCTACTCAGCATCCTCCCAAGAAAGTAGTTTTCTGCAGGTGTTAACCAGAGAAGTCTCTACCGCCACCTAGAACCTAGACTGGTACACATTCCATCATTCAATCACATGTTTCACAAATGTTTGTTGAGCACCTAACGGGCCAGGTATTGTACGAGGCATTGGGATACAGGGTGAAAAAATACACATACCCCACTTGCATGGATCTTATGCGGCAGGGGAGATTGGCAGATCTCACAATGAATGAGGATGCCCCCACAGGCGGAGGGCACCTGATGAGCTTTTGGGTGGTTAAGGCAAGTCTTTCTGAGGAGTTGATTTATAAGTTAAACCCCAAAGGCAAGAGGGAGCCAGGCACGGGGAGACCTGCAGGAGGAGGACTCCGGGTTGGGAGGAGAGCTGGGTCAAGGGCTGTGCTGAGTCCGACATGCTGAGTCTGGCGTGTTGGAGAAAGAGAAAGACGGCTGGTGGGGCTGGAGCACATGGGGGAGAGGGTGGTTAGGAAATGCAGCTCTGGAGAAGAGCGAGGATGTGGAGAAAAGAGGGTGCCCTTGGACTTTGAATCAGTAAGTCAATAAGCAGAGTCAAAAAGGCTTGCTTACGAATCAGACACAGGGCTAAGGAAAGGGGGTTAAATGGTTGATGCCTTTTACTGAGATGAGAAACAAATGAGGGGTAAACGGTGCTCTTGCTGTGCCATTTGCTTCTTTTTACAAATGAGCGGTGAAATCAAGGATTCCCTCGTGTGCTTTGTCATGTGGGACGCCTGTTGAATTTTCAAGTCAACAATGTCAGGAAGGCAACTGAAGTTCAGGGCAGTGTCTGGGACCAGAGACATGGATTGGGCACTTTGGGGGAATATGTGATACAAAGAAAGTCACAGATTTTCTAGACACTCTAGACACCGCAGAGTAAAACTACCAAAAGTCAAAGTATAAGACAAAACTTTAAAAGTAGCCAAGTAAAATGGTGCAGGCTTCCCGGATGGATCAGCAGTAATCTGCCAACAATGCAGGAGACACAGGAGATGTAGGTTTGATCCCTGAGTCAGGAAACTCCCCTGGAGGAGAATACAGCAGCCAACTCCACTGTTCTTTCCTGAAAAATCCTGTGGACAGAGGAGCCTGGAGGACTAAGTGCACGGGGTCGCAAAGAGTCGGACACGACTGAGCGACTAAGCACATGATACTGTAAGTCACAAGTCCAGACGAGATACGCCAGTTTGTGAGTGTAGACAGAGAAGGGAAAGCAGGTTAGAACAGGCTTCTCAGCACACTTAGAGGTTAGGGGATGAGCAAAGGAGATGGACCCAGCCAAAGAGTCTGAGAAGGAGCAGCTGGAGCAGTTAGAAGACAACCAGGAGACAAGGGTATCTTGGAGAGAACGGAAGGAAACTCTTTCAAGAAAAGAGTGTGTTCAGCTGTGTTGAGTGCTGCTGAGATGAGGGCAGGGAGGTCTTGAGACGGTTTGCACACAGGCTGACCTATGCATTAGGTGCCCCCGGCAGCCAGGAATGGAAGCCCTGTCTCACACTGGCTTTGCCTGTAAAGACAGTTTTTCATCCCCACCTCACAGGAAATCCAGAGCGTGGGCTGCAGGGTCGGCTGGTTAGATGGCTGACTGATGTCATCAAGGACCAGGTGCTTTCATTGCTCTGTGCTGTTTTCAGTGTGGGCTCTACCTTTACGCTGGTGTTGAGATGGTCCATTTGGACATGGCAACATTTAAAGGAGCAGGAGGCCCATGTCTTTCTGTGGCTCTCTCAAGAGGGACGGTGTGTTTCCTAGCAGCTCCCCAGCAGGCACCCCTGGAACTCTGACATTTAGAATGGGTTCAGGTGACCTTTCCTGGGGGGCACTTCCCAGGTGGTAAAGAATCCACCTGCCAACACAGGAGATGCTGGAGATGCAGATTTGATACCTGGGGCAGAAAGATCCCCTGGAGGAGGAAATGGCAACCCACTCCAGTATTCTTACCTGGAGAATCCCATGGACAGAGGTGCCTGGTGGGCTACAGTCCATGGGGTCACAAAGAGTCGGACATGACATAGCGACTGAGCATGCACGGCCTCTCCTAATCTGAACACTGGCATGATAACTCTTAGACAAACGAGCCCACCTCCATTTGGACCTGGGGCGAGAAGGTCAGTGGGATTCTGGTCAGGGAGCTGGGGGCTGACTGTATCCATTGCTGTATGTGCATAGGTTTGTGTATGTGTGTGTCCGTGACATAGTGACATATGCCATGTAATAAATGGTGTGTCCTTCCCCCAGGGGTGCAAGCTTTGTTCTTGTAAATCAACTCTTGATATTTTTTCAAAGGAAAAAAACAAACAGCAGAAGCAAAACTTTATAGGTTTTGTTAAAGAGCACTCGAACCAACGGGGCTAACTGACATTTCCTGTCTATTGTGGCCCCTCACAGTGGTCCCTCGCTGTGGTCCAGGAAAAGCCAAGATGTCAATTCAACTGCATCAGCAAGGCACCTGCTCTGTTACATCTCAATCTGGATGACGGTGGCCCTTGCCTGACACTCCTGCCCATGCCTAAGTCCCCACCTTCTTGATTTTTCTGGTTTCGTTTACTCATCCCAGGGCCAGCCTTAATGCTTGTAACCCATTGCAGTGCTTAGAAAACAGCAGGTTGAAAAAAAGACTTTGAAAATTTGTCCACCTCTTTTTTTGCACTTTCATGAGCAAAAGAGATGCAATACATGCTCGAGTGCTTGGCTCTTGTATACATATAATAGCTTGTCGAATTTCCCACCCTGTCAAGGGAATTTAGGCTACTTGTGAGAAGACACAACTTCGGAATAATAAAAATAAGGATTAACCATTTCCACAAGCAAAAACCTGTGCATGCTTTCTACTATTTAGAGTAAAGGTGTCAAATTAGAATACAATCTAATTCTGTTCCATTCTATTCTACTCTGTTCTATTCTACTTTGTTAATTTTTTTTTTTACTTTGTTCATTTTATTCTATGTTAAAACATATTCAGAAAACCATTTCCTTCTGTGGGATCACCCTGGGAAAGGTTGGAGTGAGTCTGGGTCTGTTTAGCATCAAACTTGAACCAAATGGCCAAACAGCTTTGGTTTGTAAAGTAAATGTCTGAAGGGAATTTACATGAGTGGCTCTCTAGTCTTGCCACAAATGAATCACACTGGGATAGTCTTTCTTCCGATGACCAGAATGTAACGTATATCAGCTCAAATCCTTGCCTTTATTTGAGTTTCAAAATAAAAGCTGATTTTCACCGAAATGATGCTCACCCGCAGGCTCTTGTCAGTTTCCTCGTCCCTCAAGAGCCCGCTAGAGAAATTCGCCAGCCGCTTGGGGTCCATGCTCTGGTCCCCGTAGCCGTCGAATTGGACATTCTCCTGCCTTTTAAGGAAACGCGCAGCTGCTGGGAGCGGGCCAGTCTGCACACCCGGATCCCATTGCCTGTAGTTTTCACAGCAGAGCCTCGCCAGCGTGGCAGAGAGGAGGCTAAAAATAGCAGGCAGGGTGCAGCAGTCTTCCCCACCACGGCTGCTCTCATCTGCTGTGAAAATATAGGCACTGTCTGCTGGGTCTCGCTGGGACTCTGTGCTTCCCTTGTTTGGCAGAAGTTGCAATGCCAACTCCACCCCAAATTAACTTTTGCTTTCAGAGAGGAGCCCCACCACCCCAGGGCTTTCAGGCCAGGCCCTCTTGTGATCACCCTGACATCCAGGCTCACGCTTTCCTAGGCTTCTGGGCCTGGTGGTGCCCACCCTTCAGAGTGGACAGAATGGGACAGTGCAGAGGAACGGTGTTAGCACCCAGAGCAGCATCCCTGATGCATCAGTGACCCGCCCCCTGTCTCAGCTCCTGAGTCTGTTTGGAGTTCACGCAGTATGTGGGGTGAATGGCCTCTCGGACCCAAATCTTTCAAGGGCCTGGTAGGTTTCCTAGATGAGCAAGGCTGGGGAAGGGACTGCTAAGGGCTTGTGGCACAGCGTGGGGAGAGGTCCATCATATGGGCATTCAGGTTTAGTCAATGTCCCCCAGGCACACCTGGCCCTCGGGCCACAGTTTGCAGTCTCGGGTTTAGAGGTCTGCATGGAAATTCACTGTTGCTGTGTCTGGTCTGAGCTGATGCAGAACTCTGAGCTGTGGCCTGGAAGTAAAACCCAGCCTGACCTTAGAATCACTGGATATGACCCCCAACAGAAGACTGGGGCAAATGACAAGGTCTGCAGGTCTGATGGCAAATACTTGCCTGACTGGGAGAGTTGCCAGGGTTGTCTGAAGATCCATTATGTCCAGCAAGGCTGTTTCCAGGAAGAGTTAAACAGAATCTGTGATACAATGCAGGGGGTGTCCTGAATGTGCTGGGCACTCAGGGTCACAAGGAAAGAGGAGGCTGATCTGTCATGTGAGCCAAACACTCAAGATGTTATCATAAATGAAGTGCCTGGAGGAAGAAGCTTCTGGAAGAGAAGCTCAGGCCAATTCCTTCTTCTCAGTCCAGCCTTGGGGATTTGGCCCTTTCTGGGCACTGTCATATCTGGTAATGACAAAATCCAGACCACGTTATGAACAGTCATGCTGGCCTGCCTGGGGGTGTATGTGAGCCTGACAACTCTTTTGATGTGCGGTACCAGATGCTGCAGGCCGGGGGCTGCGTGTGCCCCACCCAGAAGGACTCTGTGTTAATAGCCCGGGAAACGGTGGAGTTGTCCTCTGTCTGCTTGAGTAGGGGAGACAGACATGCACACAATAATCGCAGGGCAAATGAACTTATCTACAAAACAGAAATAGAATCACAAACGCAGAAATCAAACTTATGGTTACAGGGGCAGGGAAGTGAACTGCTACTGCTAAGTCACTTCAGTCGTGTCCAACTCTGTGGGACCCCATCCCTGGGATTCTCCAGGCGAGAACACTGGAGTGGGTTGCCATTTCCTTCTCCAATGCGTAAAACTGAAAAGTGAAAGTGAAGTCGCTCAGTTATGTCCGACTCTTCGCGACCCCATGGACTGCAGCCTACCAGGCTCCTCTGTCCATGGGATTTTCCAGACAAGAGTACTGGAGTGGGGTGCCATTGCCTTCTCCGAGGGAAGTGAAGCGGAGGTATAAATTGGGAGATTGGGACAGACATATACACACTACTATATATAAATTAGATGACTAATACGGACCTACGGTATAGTTCTGCTCCACTCAACACTCTGTAATGGCTATATGGGAAAAGAATCTAAAAAAGAGGGGCTATATGTATGGATTTCCCTGGTCGCTCAGTGGTAAAGAACCTCTCTGCAATGCAGGAAACATGGGTTCAATCTCTGGATTGGAAAAATCCTCTGGAGAAGGAAATGGTAATCCACTCCAGCATTCTTGCCTGAAAAGTCCCATAGACAGAGGAGCCTGGTGAGCTACAGACCATGAAGTCATGAAAGAGTAAGATATAACTTAGCAACCAAACAACAACAGGTATAACTGACCCACTTTACCATACACCTGAAACTAACACAACATTGCAAATCAACTCTACCCCAATAAAACTGGCTTTAAAAATTGCAGTGTGATACAGCAAGAGCTTTGATAGAGGGATGCTCAAGGCAGAGACGTCTCTGCCAAAGGAGCCTGTGAAAGCCCGTAGGGATGAAAAAATGAGAAGTGTTGGCCCTGCCTCTTAAACAGCTTTTAGAGGCCAATGTACAGACAAGGAAACACAAGATATTTGTTCCAGTGGAAGTGAGAATGAGGGGTGTCCCTGAGCACGATGGCTTGGTGGTTTTGGAGAGAAGCAAGTGTTCAGGGGATGTGAATTTTGTTACTGCTGGACCTGCCTGAGATGGTAGAGATGAGGGTGGAATGAAAGCCAGCCCACAGGTCTTCAAGCGCCTTGCTTGTCATGCAAAAGGGTTGTGTTTAATACCTTGAAGTCCGAGGGACATTGACTAAAAGATATCAGCAGGTGAAGGGCACAATCGTATCTCAGCACAGCTGGACAATCTCCTCCCACTTTCTGTCGTTATGAACTGTTGGGCTTATGTCAAGGGGAACAGTGAGGTTGGAAAGGTGTCTATTAGCAATTCTTATTTTGTAGGCAGGGCAGTGGAGGCTCAGAGAAGTTTTGAGCCACATAGCTGCTGGTGGAGAAATTGGCCTTTGAGTTCAACATGGCCTGAACGTCTCTCTTGACTTTGCCCGTTTTCCTTTTGGCCTATTTATTGTTCTGTTTGAAAGATTGCTTAGTAAATAATTTTCACAAATATTGTACATTTTTAAAGTGCTTACAATTTTCCTTTTATTTACAAGACCTTACATTTTTTTGAACTCATATCTACTTCCCTGGTGGCTCAGATGGTAAAGAATCAACCTGCAATGCAGGTGACCTGCAGGTGACCTGCTGGTTGGGATGATCCTTAGAGATGGAAATGGCAATCCAGTCCAGTGGTCTTGCCTGCGGAATCCCATGGACAGAGGAGCCTGGTGGGCTACAGTCCATACCGTCTCAAAGAATGGGATATGACTGAGAACTCATATCTAATTTTTTTTCCCCTCTCATAAACTTTTTCTCTGCTACCAGCCTTCCAAATGTGATCTCTATCTCCAGGTTGAAAAATGGCGTGGGAGACGCAGCTTGACCATCTGCCCAGGCCCTGGGCCCCTTCTCTGACAACGGCCCTGAATCCTGACCCCCCACCCGACAGTGTCAGAAGTCATGTCTTACTCAAGGAACCACAGTAAAGGGCGAAATCCCCAGGTCAGCTGTTAATCAACAGAAGTGAGCTTTGATAGCCCCTAGGCAGTCAGGAGACCTGGGTTCGATCCCTGGGTTGGGAAGTTCCCCTGGAGAAGGGAATGGCTACTGCCTCCAGTATCCTGGCCTGGAGAATTCCAGACTGTATAGTCCATGGGGTCATAAAGAGTCCTACGTGACTTACCCTTTTTTGGGGCTTCCCTTGTGGCTCAGCTGGTAAAGAATCCGCCTGCAATGTGGGAGACCTGGTTTCGATCCCAGGGTTGGGAAGATCCCTTGAAGAAGGGAAAGGCTGCCCACTCCAGTATTCTGGCCTAGAGAATTCCATGGACTGTATATTCCATGGGGTTGCAAAGAGTCGGACACGACTGAGCGACTTTCACTCACTCACTCACTCAGGCAGTCAGGGGCTTAAGCGTGGCTGGCCTGGGGATGCCAGGCTGTGGCACAGACATCATGGGTATCCCCTGCTGAAAGTGAGAGGCAGCTCACTGAGGCTCTGTAGCCCAGGAAACCTCAGCAATCATGAACGGAGGCCTCAGGTTTCTCAGCTTCTCAGGTCAGCCTTGGGCACAAGAAGCAGGTGGCCGACCCCAGCTCTAAGTGGCCTGCACAGGAATAAAGAGAGGCCTCTGCAAATGAGCGCACAACAGCAGTATTGCTATACCGTCACGTGGCACCAGGTCCCGGCCTTGCCCCCTCCTGGCCAGATGCCCAGGCCAGCTGCTCATCTCCCTCTTTCCTTCAGGCAGGGCACAGGAGAAGTGGCCATTGGTGCCTCATTCATCTTCTGTTTCTCGATTCTGACCCCCAGAGTTTTGGTTTCTTTTCCTTCTGGTAGGGTCTGGAAGAGTGCCTTATTTGGTTGAAACATGCAGGGTGAGGAGTATTGACTTAGGCTGCTTGTAAGTTTCATAAGCCGCCAAGAAGCCCTTCTGCAGAAGCTCTGCACTGGCTGGTACATGAGAGTGCTTTATCATTCAGCACAGCCTGCAATCACCTCCCACACACTCTTCACATCATCTAATTAAGAGTCTTCGCCCTCCGCTTCTTCCCTGCTTCCCAAGCCTTGCCCCTGAGCCTTCTGAATCACTGCTACCATCAGGAAACGCCCCTTATATCAGCAAGAAATTTTTCAGAGTGATTTTTTCCCCCTCCTATTTGCCTTGCTTGAAAACTAGCTTTCCGCCCCGGGGAATGCTGTCTGCCTCCGCCCTTTCAAGGGTTTTGCTTTGAACCCCATCAGTGCTGGTGCCGGAGGGTGGGTGTGCCATCTTGCTTCCATCATCACCTCCTAGAGCCATTACTGCCCCACACCCCAACCCTGGCCCCATGAAAACTCCTGCCTCCCATTGCTTTGCTGTCATCGGCCCACCTCCTTATCACTGTCTTCATTGCCATCTCCTCCATCACAAGAAGTGTGACCATTCTCAGAGATGGCAGAGTTGGTCCCCAAGACATGTCCCAATAAATAACCTTTCTGCACCCGAATTTGCATCTCAGGTGCTGGTTTGTTGCCCCTGACCTGTGGCCATAAGGATGCACCCAGTGGCTGGGTACCGCTGGAGACCAGGTGAGCGGTGTCTGAATTTCTCAGTGAAATGCTCTATCTGTAATATATTGTCTCCTATGAGTCCCAGACGTTTGAATG